TGTGCCAGACATCAAAGGTCATAGCATTATGATAAAGTGTTGTGGTAAAAAGGTTAAAAAGGAGTTAACAATTAGGATAAGTGGACAGATAGGGATGAAAAGGAGAAGGAAAAGAAAAGAAGAAAAGACCATCCAAAATTTGTTGAGGCAAGGGCAGAGGTCCATGGCAGGGGTGACCCCCTGCATTGGGCCTCAGTCTCCTTACCTCCCATGAGAACGAGCAAGGGATTAGGGGTAGTAAATATGTATCTTTCCAAAACACATGAAAAATATAAGACTAGTAATTGACTTCTTGCTAACTTAGAGCCATCCCTGGGTGAACACAATTGATAAACTAAAGTTACAGTGGAAGTGGCATGTAATCATACCATCCACATCCGTTGGGATGGGTTAAAGCCCCTTATTCAGGGAAACCAGTGGATTGCCCATGACTGCTGTGGGGTATGAATGGATGACCCTGCCAGACACCAGCTCTACTGTTCATGATGACACAGGCTTTACCCATTAAACAGGTTAAGTCCACTAGATACTTCAGTTGTATTGATGAAGCCTATCCTTCGAGTGTGAACCTCCAATCCTTTACTCATTTTTGTTGTGGGGAGGCAGAGACTGAGGCCCACTGTGGGGATCACCCCTGCCTTGGATCTCGGCCCTCACTTTAACTAATCTAGTAGGGTCTTTTCTTCTCCTCCTTTCCTTTCCTTCCTCATCCCTTCTTCTGTCTACTTATTCTAATTATCAACTCATTTTTACCCTTTTTGCCACAATACGTTACCATAATGTTGTGTAACCTTTGATGCTTGGTACATTTGTTTGTTTTAACCACTGACCATTCTGGAAGTCCACAAACATCATCAACCATCAATCATCATCATCAAAGATGTTTGTGGATTTCCAGAATGGTTAATGGTCAAAACAAATGTGCTAGGCATCAAAGGTCATCTAGCGTTATGATAGAGTACTGTGGTGTAAAGGGGAAGAATGAGTGAACAATTAGGATAAATGGAAAAGGAAAGGGGGAGAAGAAATACCATGCAAAATTAGTTGAGGTGAGGGCTGAGGTCCAAGGCAGGGGGGATTCTTTACATTGGGCCTCCTCCTTAGCACCCAACAACGACAAGCAAAGGACTGGGGAGGGGAATTTTCAATAAATGTATATAGTAACTGGGCTTTGCCCTCAAGCATCATGCTTTTGCTATATTTTTAATACATCGCTAATGACATTAGATGTCATATATAGGAATGTGAATATTTTAATTAAAGCAGTTGTGCTTTTGCTTTTTTTGCTTTTTCTATGTCTGTGCTTGATTTCAGATGCATTAATCAAGTAGGGATATTCCACTGCCTGTTGCACCAACAGGATAAAAGGATTAACTTTTTTCTTCACCTTTTAAATAGAGTCTCAGTATGTTTAGGCCTTGATATGAAAGTTGGGGACATATTTGTTTATATTGGCCTGTCCACACAGATTGGCATAATCCACAGTCACAAATAGAGGTCACAGGATGATAAACTTCTTGGTATACTAGTTTCTTGATTTCTTACCTGTGATGTCACCTTAACAGTTGCCCATCAATGTACCGGCCTGTGTGGGCAGGCCTCATCATTAATGAAATCAGTCGTCTTCCATTTTGATACAGGAAATTCGTGTATAGAATCATAAATATCCACACACGTACTGTATGTATAGGGTCTCTCAACAAATGTATAAATGCAATTATATTTTCGTTCATGTGCAAAGCATAATGTTGAAAGGAATGTGGTGTGGATTAAAGAAAGTGCTGTTTTGATTTCATTTATTTACTTATTTCAGAGAAGTTTAGCATTTCTAGCATTTATAAAAGTATACATCGTTCAGAAGTTGGTAGATTCTTAAATTTTATTTCTATTTATTAAATGGTCACGATATGTCACTCGCATGCACGTCAAAAAGGGCACAAGATTTAACAACGGATGATATTCTGAGGGATTGGGTCTCATTTTTGATTTCGTTAATTATTCCCCACCCCTTTGTTTCCAAGTCAAAGTACTTGCTGAAATCCTGCCTTTTTTTTTTTCTTCACACAAATCTTAATCTGAAGATAAGTGTCGAGTTTCATTTGCAGTGAATACCTTGGACACCCCCTTCCCTATACACGCATGAAGAGCAGTCAGATCATGAAATCCATATTGAAATTTAAGCTTTCATTGACTTGCAGCATATTCCTCATGAGCAAAATATGCAGCCACTTTAAATTCTAAAGTTTAAAAGACATTTTCCTGACCATTTTTACATTTCACTAGGTTTTTAAAACTTAATGGTAGGCATAGGCGAGTGGAGAGCAAGATGGAATGTTCAAAATATTATTTCTTGTGTATATGTATGTACACAGTTTTGGTATAAACAGGACATCATTGATTATGATGAACCTGTAATACAGTAGTATGTGCCAAGCCCGAGTTATTAGGAAATGATTATCTACCTCTGCTGCGATTTATACTAGGAAACGACACGCTTGGCAAGTTACTGTGGAGTTTGTCATTACAAAAAAGTGAAGGTTTCCTTGAAAAGTGTATTAGGTAAAGGACAGTTGTTCTGGAGTGTCAGCAAGCTACTTGTGTAATGATTATTAGCAAGATGTGGATCTTACAAGAACCTAGTAGTAATATTCCACACTGTGCAATCTAAAATGTTCCAACAGCCTGTACAAGGTTATGAAATATAATCCCTCCAGTTTTGTTTATTTGGACGAAAGCCTAGTTCGTTCTTTCCCTAAACTAATAATCTTTAAGTTAACCCTTTAAGCCATGGCAACTCCCAACTTTTTAGCAGCCTTTCCACTGAAGATGTAACCAACAAATCAAAAGAAGCAAGCCTAAACCAGTCACACCTACCAGGCAGCAATTTCTGTGCACCTCCATTTGAAATTATAGATGAAGAAATCAATCAAAATCTTTCCTCCAGACTAGCTCTTCTGAAACTAACCCAAGTCAAGCTTACCTTCCTATTTTAACACAAAATTGAGTGTTACAGCAGTATCCTTTTTCATAATGCCGCTTACTCAGGGTAATATGCAATATATTCAAAGGTGTAGCTTTCACTTTTAGAGGATAACTAATGAAAAACTGCTCTTTATCCTTTCATGTATTATGTACAGCTCCAATAAAAGTTTACTTCCATAGCATTTCATTTTATTTGTGCTCCTTGATAATAAAACACTGAAGAGGTTTAGTGCTCAGTGTTTGCAAGACTAATGGAAGTTCGGGAAAAAAAAAAAAAAAAAAAAAAAAAAATCATGAATAGTTATCTGTACGAGTGGCAGAAGGCACAATGAAGGTTTGCACATTTCATGTTCTACCAACATTAGTATTACAATTGCTTACACCACTAATTAAAAGTGACTGCCATTGACTTTGCATATTGATGCCATTAAAGTGAAGTTTCAATTTTAAAAATATCTTTGGCAGTTACTTCCAACATTTCTGCCTAATTACTCATAACCAAAGCTGATGGAATCAGTGGATTAAGAGCAGGTATTAATCATAGTTCAAAGTTTCATGTGCCTGAAATTTAGGATAGCAATCAATTGGCCAACCATTAAAAAGAAATTTATTTTAGACAAGTTGACAATGATCCTACAATAAAATCATACAAAACCCTTTAAGTAATGGTAATTCCTTTTTCCAGACAAAGGCAACAGCCAATGCAAACAAAAGATTTTGAGCAGTGTCAATTACAAAATGTACTTTGAGCCAATACTTGGCCAATGCCTATGAACATGATTCCGTTATATAAAGCTTATATTATACTTAATGAACGCAGACTGATATTTCACACTGATGTGATGACAAAGATACAAATGGAAGAGCTTCAGGTAATACTAAACTTGCCTCAGCCAACACGTGGCAGCGGGCGACACTGGTATAGCGTTCCAGGCACAATCCACCAACTTCAAGTCAATCAATGCAGACCCACTGAACCACATTCTTTGCCAAGAATTCAGAGAGACAAGTCTCTCTGGAAGAACACACTGGATGGCACTTGTGTCCACATTCTTCACAAGAAGGGGTCTCGACTTGTCAATGCTACTCATCATGGGATAACAGCCAGAGCTTGAACCAGTGCTACACTGCTGCCACCCACCTACATGCCAACCAATTTGAATTATAATCAAAATAATATAATCAGAAGTATAAAACAATGAGTCCCCTGATGCTGCGTGGGTAGCATAAACAGTTGCTGCCCGGGCATGACTAGGGCAGCAGTGACCGCAGTGCGGGTGGTACTGAAAGACCCCTCACAGTGCAGTTGGGTCGGCAAGAGCCGAGACCAGTGTTACACCAGGGTGGAAAGTAACAAACACAGGGTAAGGGCTGCTTTTCGTGAGGGGCCTCCCATAGTAGGTTTAGGCACGGTCAGTAGAACGCAGTTTCTCCAACACACACTCGTATGATGCTTCAGCCATATCCGTGGCCTGTAAAGTTAAAACAAATCATGAGAAAGAGGCTTTTAAGTATTAATGTCCTGACTCAAAACTTCAGTTAAATCTGAAAATTTACAAAATTACTTTGAGATAATGCATTATAAATAAAACCAAGTCTCTCAATGTACACACAACTCTATACGAGACACTGCAAGAAAACTTACCTGGATATATTTGCCAATGCCTTCACATGCACTTTTGAGGGCATCAAAGCTTGAAGAGTAAAGCATTTTCTTCTTAATCTTGGCAGTGTCTGGGCACCAGGACATCAGGAACAGCTTCTGCTTTGGTGTGCGCTAAAATAAAGAAAGAATTTTGCAAAGCAATCAAATAAGGTAGTTGGGCATTACATTTGCAGGTGCCCATTTTAGAAGTATTCCATAACGCTTGGTTCCTCAGGCTATTTCTAAACAGTGCAAATTCTAGTCAAGCTGCAGTTTTTATTTTCCTTACTTGACTAGAAAATATGGATTCATGGTAGATATCACATATGCTATGAAAGTGCAAATTCTCCACAAAAGGCTTAAAACTTACATCTGATGTTCCCTGGCACTGGTGCTCATACTCAAAGTCATATAGACCATAGCGGCACTGGTCAGGGCCCAACTCTTCAAGATGTTTCAAGTAGTCATCATAGGAACTATCTCTGTCACCATACTGTAAAAGATGACATAATTAGGAGTGGAAAAATACAGTCTCATTATTGGAAGTATAAAATTACTATCAATTGTTTCATCTTACAACTCAATTCTTTTTTTTTGCATTCCTTACCTTTTCAATATCTATAACTTTCTCATCTTTAATGTGGAATATGATGTACCTATATTTCTTGTTTTTTTTTATATCGAGAAAGGCCTGTGTGCATGCATCTGCTACTTGTACTCCGGAAGCCTGCAAAGAATAAATAAAATTTAGATTTACAGTATCAGATGGTAGATAGTAATTGCAAAATTTAAGCCCAACATCAGTAATATAATGAGGATAAATATCAAAATATGCAATTATCCAATTTAGAGAACCTTTTAACTGTGTACAAAAAATCTGACATGATTTTTACATTAACATTTATCATAATAGTTCCTCATTTTGAACTATCCAATTTTTAAAAAGCACAACTTCCACATTTCTGACAAGCTTCTTTGTGCAAAGGAAATGGGGGTAGAAAAAGATAGCATCTACCCTTGTCCAAATACTGAAATATACCACTTTCTTTAATACCGAGGAATCTCATCACACAAGTTCATTAAGAAAACTCTTCCCAAGAGCAGTAGGGAAATATCTCCCAAAACATGCTTCAAAGGACTGAGCACAACTTGTATACTATACTAAACATGTACAATGAGACCTTTCAGGGAGTTCTGCTACACCCACGACTGCAAGCCAAACATACCTACAATACCTTAAAATAGATGCAAGGTCAGAGACCCCAACAGCTGCAATGTAACTTGTTTCTCTTCATTTCCCCCCCCCTTCCTTATTTTTACTCTCCCTCACCAATAAGCTACTATAAACGCAACAAAATCAAGGCAAAAGGGAGCTGCTTGGGAGTAAGAGAAACCTTAAAACTTTTCAGACATGATGACAATCATGTTTGTAACCCCTCAAAATAGCCTTAGCTTGGTTCTCATACTTGTATGGCCAAGGGTGTCACCTGCCAATACTAACTTTACTATAGACAGCCACAGAGCATCAAATTTCACAGGGTCACATGAGCAGTATACCATACCTTTCTACCATGGATATTGCGCACACAGTGAAGACATTTAGGTTTTATAATACCTGAACAATTTGAAATTAGTCTTTAATCAATTTTGTAGGTACAAACTACACATACTAACAACCGTTTCTACCCTTGAAAATAAATAAAATCCACAACATACAAATGACTGCCCTCAATGTTGTGCCTAAATTAAGCCGGATTAATTTTTTTGAGGGGAGAGGGGAGAGGGGGGGGCTGCCATTACCCTATGCACTAGCTGCAAAGCCTCTAGCAATAACTACCACCTATGCATTTTAGTTAGTGCATGATAACCGAACCATTTTGCTTTGACACACAAGTAAACTTGAAAATGCGTAGGAAAGGTATTTCAGCCTAAAATGTGTGCAAAAGGCAGAGACTAGTTCTTACCCGATATTTTACAATAATTGGACATATGATTCCAGCAAAGACCATATTCTCAAGCCAACTTTGATAGAACTTGGCCCATCAAAATTACATGAATTGAGAGAGGGAGAGAGAAATGGGGAAAAATTTTAAAGACCATTATAGCACGATTCCCATTTCTTATTTCACCACCAAATGGAGAGAGACCTTGAAACTATTATATTATTTACTTAATATAGAGACACCATAATCTGAATGCAACAAGTTAGCCTCCCCCCCTTGGAAAAAATAAAATAAATAAATAAATAAAATATATATATATATATATATATATATATATATATATATATATATATATATATATATATATATATATATATATATATATATATATATATATACATACACACAATTTATTTCTACATGCATACACCTAAATCATTCTTCGGACACCCATTTCCATTTACCTTCTTAATATAGCAATTTCTTTTGTCACATTAAAAAACAAGGCCCAGGGATTCTCCTTTCCTTTACACAGCCATCCAACCTTGTAACTTTGCCCAATTATCACCGTCTGTCTTCCATCACATGCCTGGTTCAGGAAACAAGCAAGAGTTGGCAACTGTAAAGAAGTGACTGTACCCATCTGAAACCATGTCCTCATTACCTCAAACAATAACTTTGTGAGCACTCCTGGGAATCCAGGATGAGTCTTGTTTCATGAAAGCTCTCCTAACCCCCCATCCAATTGCTATTCACTTAGTTTCCACATGGTATTTCTCTTATCTCTCCTTTTCTGAATTCATTCCTTGACTGCAGATTTCATTAATATTTGAATATTTTTTTCCCCTAAGTCATTAGATTTTCCTTCCATCTTCAAACAGTTAATGTGTAATAAGCCAGTGGAAATACTGTGTTGCACAACTTTTTAATATCAACTTGCGAAAGATGCCAAAACAAAATGCGGTGTGTCATCAAGTGACCCACCCTCCAGAGATTAAGTCCCAAAACAATGGTTTCATGTGAACCCTCCACTGTTCCTACCTTTAATGAGCACTTTGTACCAATATTTTCATCATTACATCGTAAATATGAGGCCACTGTAGCTGTACCTTTGTCTATGAATATTTCGGTATTTGTTACCAAGAGTGACGCACCCTTCAGAGATGAAACTTTCCCACTTCGTATTGACTCCCTGGACAGGGGGGAGCCCCCCCATCATGTACCTTTCTTTATTAACATTTTGTGCAATTCTTTAGAATAAGTGACTAAGAACTGTGGCTGTGTGAGGGTGTTATGGATTTTGTCCGAGTGGTGATAAGCAGAGGGTATTCTCATTTCCCAGTAAATATGAGGATATTGCAATTGTAATTGTTGCTTCTTACTATTTTTTATGCTCTAAGAGGGGTCTCACCTTGGGACCCCTATCAATTGCCATGTATCCCTAGATGGGAGACCTGCCCCTAGAACCTCTTCTGAACACTCTTCCTTGATGGTGTGGTCTTTATGAATATTCAAACCAACCTGACACTAGAAACAAATTCAGGCTGGTCAGCAAGCAGCTGCTGCACAAGATGTTGCAAGTCAAGCTAGGCAGCGACTCCCATACCACAAACGCCCTAAATATCACACTGTTCTGAGGTACTGTACCAATCATTGAAGCCATAGGACTTCACTGCTTCTACCACTTACTAATACTACTACAATTGGTTACTATACAGTTTATGATTAATTTTTACTGTATGGACGCATCAAGCTATGGCTATTTGAAGACACTTTTCAAGGCCAAAAGACGCAATTGTCAACAAAAGAAAAGCTGCAGACATAAATGCTATCGAGACGAAGGAAAAAGAAAACAGAATCCATTCAGTGCTCCCAAACTATAGCTCAATCTTGCTGTGGATGCTGTGGTGAAGGCAAGGTTTCTTGGGGGGGTATTAGGGGGCAGAACCCCTCCAAGCAACTCTTCCCTCAGGCACTGCTCTATCACATCAAATCTTATTGTTTAATTCTGTGATATGGAGTTGAGGGACTTAGCTTCTGGTGAGTATGTCCATACTGTAAAGAATTTTCCAGTCCCCTAATCAAAGATGGACTAAGATGCCATCTATTCTAAAAGGAATAGCATTCAATGTGGATACAATACAGAGAAAATCCATACAAGATTCGTTCTGCTTGCCTCAAACAGTTTAGTTCTTTTGCTCATTTTTTTAGGGGAGGGGGGGGGGGGGGAGATTAGTTAATAAAAGCAACATTCCCCAGAGTCGCAAAGCCAGGGTATTATGCAAACTAAAAATCCAAATCCAGTCTTTACTATCTTCTCTATTCCCTAGACAGGAGAGGGGGGGGGATATCCCCCATTACCATTTCAAGCCTACTTACAGAAAATATGACCTTAAGAATTGGTCGTGTAAAGGTGCTGTGGACAGTGAGATTTTCAAATTCTCAAAGTAAAAGAGGCCAAATCAGATAATTCGTTTTATACACAGTTTATGCTATATAAGATGGCAGTGTACATTTCCCACTGTCTCAGTAATTTTAACATCCTTTATTGAAGGCAAACTCACCAACTTAATATTGGGACCACCACCTTTAAACAGTTCATTTTCATAGCAAACAACTCACTATTGTATATGCAACTGAATAAGCAGCAGCTTCCAAACTCAGGGCCCTCACATTAATGATGACCAAAAAACTTGACTTACCACGATCTGCCACAATGTCAAAAATCGTAAACCAGCAAAGCCCAACAGGAAACGACGTTCTAGCACAACTTA